ACCTGACACCATCTTTTACTTCAAACAGGATTCATGTATGACTTTTATTCAACCAAAGACATGTTTCTCCTAGTTATGTCCTTCCCCACCACCCCAAGTACTTGGCTATCTCTAAGAACTTGTTCTTGAAGTTACCACTAGTTCAATACTCTTTCCACTCCCCAATTCTCCATCTAATCGGTAATTCAGCTTCACTTCCTCAAAGATGCTTTCTCTTACCTCCAGACTAGACCTGATCCCTTTGCTATACATGGTTAGGCTCGCAGTACCTTTTTTCTTTTTATTTTTCACAGTTTGCAATTATATTTGTGTGATTATTTGAAATGCCTGCCTCCCACATTCAATAAGAGACTGTTTCTGCATTGCTCATCATTTTATTATCAGAACCTGGCAATTAGTAGACACTCAGTAAGTATTTTTTGAATGAATGAATGAGTGAATGAATGAATTAATGCTCAAGCTCAAATCCCACCCTCTCCAAAAAGATACTTCTAACCTGTCCAGCTGCGATGATAAATCCCTCTTCCAAATTAGAGGCATTTGTTGTTAGTATCATTCATTTATCCCATAGAATCATAGATTCATAGAATTCAATAGGAGTTTAGAGGCAGCAAGCTTTATATTGTAAATAATGTAATCATTGAAATAAAATTCTTGGTTTTATTTTCGTGAATAACACCATTAGTGATGAAATGCCTTTTGAAGTATCCTGAACCATCCTTAGACTATTCGTATGTTTAGATATTTTTCTAATGTTTAAAGAATCTACATTCTTGTGATTTTCGAGACTAATTTGGTTCCTTAGGGTAAAAGAAAAAGCCCATTTGTTTTTCTAATGATGGTCCTTCAGATAGTCAAAGACTGCTTTCTTCCTCAATCAAAACACAGTCCCTCCTTTAATTATTGCTTTTATGTTGTAGTTTCCAGCTTCTTTCATTATTCTGATTTACTCTCCTGTGAATTCATTCTAGTTTGCCAATATCCTTCTTAAAATAAAATTACTTTTGTTATCAGCAATTTTATTTTTTAAGTATGATATTGAAATGTCATAAGATAGTAGTAAAAGACTTAAAACTTCTAAAGAATTCAGAAGTTACTCTTTCTAAGAATAAATTCATGATAATTCTTTAAGTCTTTAAGTTCAGAATTTTGAAAAGTTAATTGTGATTAAGTAATAGACAACTTTTAGTAATAGGCAGCTGTCAACGGTTGTTGGAGGATTGTTTAGATCACATAACCAATTCTATAGCTTATAGCTTAAAATGATCTGACTTGCTTGGATCGCTTGCTAGGTGAACTTCAAAAGGATTTAAACAAATAAGTAACAAAATACTGTACCTGTTTTGTTGTGAGGAGAAGGTTTAGTCTTATAGCTGCTAAGGAACAAAACTCAATGTCTAATAATTATTATCAGCTCTTTCCTGGGCTCAACAAAAATGTTTTGATGTGGTTCATACCAGCCTCTGATGAAGGTATCAGCTTTCATTTGAAAAACGACCATTAGTTTGAGTTGTCATTACAAACATTACTAAATTGCTGATAATAACCTTCATTACCAAGCAAGAATTATCCTTTTTGGTCTTTTATATATAGTTTATCCTCTATTTCAAAAATATAAAAATAAAAATTGTAAAGTTGCTGACAATAGGTAAATCTCAAAAGAAGGCAATAAATGCTACAGAAGAGAAATAAGCAAATAAAATAGAATTATACAGAAGTTAATTAGAAGAGGTGAGGGGGGGCTTGAGCCTCTCTACTTCTGAAATGGTTTTACTATTGGCACATAGTTATGGCCATTAAATGTTTGCTACGTGAAAGAAAATGTTCAAGCATTAGGGATAATTCTATAACAGGGATGATATAAACCAAGGTAGTTGACTTAGCCAGAGTACCTGCCAATTTATTTTCAATTTCAATCTCAATTTTTATTGTATTTTCAATTTTAACATTTTTGAGAACTCAGTATGAGTTAAACATAACACTACAACCATTAAAAGTACTCAAATATTTTTCTAACACGATGTAATTCAATCTCCTATAACCCAAATTTATAATATAAATTGTTCCCTCCCTCTTCCTTCCTTCCTTCCTTCCTTCCTTCCTTCCTTCCTTCCTTTCTTCTTCTTCATGCCTTCTTCCTTCCTTCCTTCCTTCCTTCCTTCTCTTCCTGATGAAAATTCACTTGGGCTATTTAGGTAATAGTATTTTAAAGTAGTCCATAAATAAGCTTATTAGCCCTGGATAGAGGTAGCCATAACAACGTGTTCAAGCAACAAAATGAACAAAAGAACCCTTTGGAATCCACTGGTTGTTCAAAAATAGCAGGTGTTTTGTTGTTGTTGTTTGTTTTAAAGACTCTAAGGAACTCAAATTTCTTTTTAAGGATTTTGTTGCTACCTTTCCTACAAAAATTACTCAGATTACTTCTTGACTTCTACTTTGAGAGCAGAGGAAGTCCTGCGGTATGATATTAGCTCAGTAGCTGTGAAGCTTCAGGTACTTTCTTATCTGAAGAGCATATCCTAAACACTGTAATTCCTGCATTGCTTGCACATTTGAATCTATTCTATCCCTATTTGAATCTATGTATTATAATATATATTCTTTACATAAACGTTCAAGAGAAAAGGCATTCAAGGTATATTTTTAGATTTATGTAAATATATAATTTCTATATTTATGTAAAATATATAGATATATCCTGTAAACAATAATTGAAATTTGAAAAAATTATAGTTGCAATTTTATACTTTCAAAAGCATATACTAATTTGAAATTATCTTTTGGAGGATCTGTCATAAACCAAATAAGTACTTGAACAACCCAGGACAACTTTTACAAATTCTCTTCAAAAAGAAGTTAGGAGTTTATGCTCAGGATCCAGTTTGCCACCAATGAAAGCTCATAAAGTTATTAAGCCTATTCTATTTTATTTATTAGGATAGGCATCATATCAATCGAGGTGATCACTATAACTTCCAAATTCATTTTGGCTTATGTAGAAAAATTCTAAACTAAAGTTGTTTTGATTTGAGATAAATCTATAATAAATTTTAAAACATCCATTTTTATTTTATTTTACAAGCAATTATTCCGAGTTTATTATTTGCTGTGCACTATTAGGTGCTGGAGTACAAAAATGAATACAACATAAAATTCTTGCCCTTAAGTAGCTCACATTTTAGTGCGAGGTGTTAGTTTTTTCCTCCAGGTATTTACTATAGAGTTTTTATATACAGTTATAGAAATAGTATGTTACAAAACCTATAGAAAAAAAAGCATTAGTTGAAGACTTTAGAAGTGGATTTGTCTTGTATATAATAAAAATTGGTTGTCAGAGATATCTATTTAATATCCATATTGTTGACACTATAGTGAAAGCAGTGAAACTTGTCAGCAGATGATTAAGTTTTATGGTTGATGTCCACACTTTTGTAGCTTAGGACCAATATCAAGTTTCTGGGGAAAACATCCTTCCTCTCTCCCTATTCCCTCTCCATTAAATCAGGTTCTCAGCCTGTTGGTTAGGTATGTTCTTGGAATAAATGTGTATCACAATCATTCTGTTTTTCATTTTTCATTTATCAATCTGATAAGTTTTTTTCCTTCTGAGGCAAGAAACGTTTATATTGTTGGTTCCTTTTATATTCCATAAGGGAAAGTCTACACTTCATTGGCTACTTTTTCAATTCCCAAGACCACCAGTTAGTGGTGTTACTTCTGGATGAGTGAAACATCCTTTACAAGCAGTTGGAGGAGGTATGCACTTGCATAGGTTGATTACTGGTGTTCCACTAACTAGTCTTTAGGAAAGTGACTTCAGTCCCTTGGAAATTAACAACCTTTCAATTCGGACAGGCTTGGAATCTTAAGGCCGAAGTGGAGATAAAAAATCGGATTGTTATGGGTTCAGTTACTGTTTGAGGAGGGCAGGTGGGAATTAGTGAATGGATACAGGGTCAAATGGGACTTTATTAAACGATTCATTAAAACGGCACAAAAAATAAACCTCTGCTGGTCCCAGAGGATTAAAAAAAAGCTTCAAAAACCCAATTAAATTTAGGAAATGTGGGACACATAAATTTAGTTTGGGCGCCTGGAAGACCACTTCCCCTGTCACCTCAGGCCAGAAACTGGGCACAGCTGTAAAAACTGTGCGAAAACAGCTTTCAAAACTATTTTTCAACGCGAAACAGTGCTCTACAAAAACTTCAGGGTGGAAGGCACTTTACGCAGTCTAGTGTTCTCCCTGGTTGCTAACCTTTCCGCCTTTCGCATCCCGCCACTCCCCCTTTGCCACAGCCTCCAGCCAGGAGGCGTTTGTTTATGTGACGTCAGCCGTAGTAAGCAGTCCCCGCCCAAGTTTCCTTCTAGACGCCGCGTTTCCCGCGCCGCGGCGCTTCTCCCCTTAAAAGGACAATAGAGGCCCCGGGAGCGCGCGCGGCCGCTGGGTCTTCTGTCCTCCCCGCCCTCGACGCGCGCGCGCCCGTATGCAAATAAGTTCGATTCAGGAGAATTTTGTACTGGGAGCCGCGCGTGCGCAGAGGGAAAGCGGAATCTACACCTTCCCGGCCAGCGGTAGCAACTGCAGAACTGCAGGAGACAATCTTTCTAGACAAGGCAGTTGAGGAGGAGGGAGCGATTGGAGGGAGGGGTTGGCCTGGTGTGCACGCCACACCTTGGGAACGTTATTGCGCGTGGAACGGCTGCCTTTGGAAGGTGAGTAACTCTAACTATTACTCTGGTGCAAAGTGTTTCACGAGGCTTTGATTTCAGAGTGGCTTTTTTTTTCTTTTTTCACCTCCCCAGTCCTTCCATACACACAGACACACACAAACAGAGAGACACACGTACGAAGTTTTGTCTTGGAGATGGCATTGCGGGGAACGCTGTTTTCGTGATCTTCAGAACTCAGATTCTTTTGTATGCACACGTTTAAGTGTGTCTTTTAATTGGGGAGGGGATTTGAAGCAAACCGAAAGTCTTGGGGTGGGGGAAGCGAGTGGAGCCTGGAAATGAGTGAGGAGTCGCCAGAGTTGAGGGATCCACGTTGAAGGTGACAATGACTTTTCTCAGCCGCAGCGTTCTCGGGCGAAACGGAGCCCGGTGGCTGAAAGGCCCGAAAGGAAAACGACTCGCTGGCAATTGCGGAGGGCCCCCGGGTGGGTGCATCGCGTGGGCGCGCGCCCGGGAGTGGTCTGGCGCTGTGGCTGAACCTCGTGTTTTAGTTTATTGCAGCCCCTTGCGCATGTTTTGAGAAGGTTGGACCATATATGCCATTCGCTCGAAAACTAAGTTGCAGTCTACTTGCGAACCCACGGGAGCGAGGGGCTTTAAATCGGCCTTTGGGTCGGTGCCGGGGTTGCCGAGCGCACGCGGCGTGGCGTTGTTTGCCCAACTCCAGAGGGATGCGGATGCGACAATGAGAGCAACACGCGGCCGCTCGGAAACAGCCCCGGCTCCCAGACGCCTGTTCCCCCCCGGACCGCGCCCAAGCCGCGCTGGTGTCGGGTGTGTCTATGGAGCTTTAAGTTTTGTTCGCAGTGTATTCACCTGTAGCGTAGCTGTGGGCGCCACGACGAAGGTTTTCTAGGGCGACCGTGTGCGGCTTAAGATGGCCAGTCGGAGCCCAGTTGACTTGGGGATGGAGGCAGCGGCGTTGTCTGCGCCGAAGGGGTGAGAGAACTCCGGAGGACACTGCTTTTTGTGCTGAACATGACAGACCACGTGCTTGGGGCTGCGACCTGGTTTTCGTCGGAGTGTCCAGCTCCAGGTCAGCAGTGAGATGCGGGCGCTGTTGGGTCTGACCGCCCGGCAGGACAATGTGATTTGCTGATGATGATGGCGTCTTGCCAGTTTAAAAAGCAGAGTGAAAGTCGCCAACTCTCCGCGGGTGTGGGGCGGGTAATCCGGGCGTTTCTCATCAAGGACAGGGCAAAACTTTGATGAAATGAGCCAGCCGCCGAGGGGAGGGCTTGGCTCCGGACTCTCGGGGTGCGGGGTCCGGAGCCCTCCCAGGGGTGATCGTCAAGTGTCTCGCCCTGGGAAACAATCCGACATCCTGATGCTGCACGTAGGCAGCACCGGGCTGGACAGAAAACAAAGAGCTGCATGTGCCCGTGCGGGCCCCACCGGCGCTCAGGGAGGCTGCGGGCGGAGGGCCGTGCGGGCCGGGCCCCCCGAAGTTCGGGCGAGTTTCGGGAGGGGCTTTTGTCCCTTGGCCCCTCGCGGGGAAACTTTGGTGGCGCTACTCGTGTGAGGTG